ATGTCTAGTTTGAATTGAATACAATTTAATTTTGATCTTGGCCTGATGGATGCGAATATACTCTGTGTTTTGAGAGTTAGACCCAATGTTGTGTTATCCTTGAGATTCCTTTTTATGTTTTTCAAGGGATAACAGTGTGTTTTTGATTAAAAAGTATAAACTTAGCTTCTTGGCAATCCAACATCTGGAGTGAAGGCTATTATAGCAGAGGAAGGCCATAGTCTTTCAATCCAATGTTTAACAATGAGATATGATGTTCAGGTGTCCACATACTTTTGGCCATGCAGTGTGTGCTTCTATGCCCATGCCTTTGTGTGTGAAACACAGAATGTGTCCTTGTGCAGTTTGAGGCCCACATTGTGGTTTTCTCTTCCTCCCTACCAATCTTTCTCCGTCCTCCCTCCCTCCCTCTCTGATCCCCCTGCTTGCAGTCTCACCCTGCCTCCCTCCACCTCGTTCCAAATTACCTTACACTCCCTTCTCCCTCTGCCTGTCAGGAAGAAGTGAACAATATGACCTTTAGTCGCAGCGATAACATTCTCCCGCATGAATTCCCCGCCGGTCCGGCTTTCCTTTCACATTCTGGCCGGTTTGTTTTCGCTCCCGGCGCCTCTGTTTTCCTTAGAAATGATCACCCTGTGATTAACGAGTAGCACCGGGGGGCTGGAAGGAAGTCAGGCCTCCACCGGGTCACACACACACACACACACACACACACACACACACACACACACACACACACACACACACACACACACACACACACACACAGGCACTACATGTTCACACCGCGGTTTCATCACTGTTTTTATCTTCTCACATGTCAGTCATACCTTTTTTAAATGGTGTGAACAGGAAAAAGCAGCTTGATGTTTCTTTAAGTTCCCATCTGAGCTGCATGTCTGCGAATTAGACCCAGAGTTTAAATATGTCTATCTTCTCCCCTAACTATTTATCCTGTCATTTTCAAACAGCCTTCAAGTACAGTGGACAGGTGGCACCGTTATGTTTCGCTTGAACAATTATGTGGTCAGTTTGAGTTCATCTGAGCACATTTTTAACGGCAACACTTTTAAGATGCTGGGGAATTTATATTTTGGCTGTCTTTCATTATATCCTGCAGGTGCTTTTTAACAACAACCACATCATTGTGAGAACCTTGTAAACATGTTTGTGATGTTTTCTGGCGTTAACACCGCAACTCAAACATACGTAATTCATTATGCATGGCAAGGTACATTCTGTCTGCAGAAAGAATTATCAACACATGCCATACTGTTTTATACTGAGAGTAAATGATCCAATATGAAGACCAATCACACTGCCAAATTAACGCAATCTAATACTCTACAAATCTTTTTGAAGTAGTCTTACGATCGCCAGTTTATTTTAATGTTATGCAGATGTGATCAAGAGCACAATAAAAAATATGTGGGTGTTGTCTTTGGTCCATTTTTGTGGCGTAGATATATTTGGGATGGCATACAGATTTCAAGACTCCCCTGAACGGAATATTTAAGTATTGCCAGTGCAGAGTTAATCATGGGATACTGAGGGTCTGCGAAGGATGAACCAGGTGTTTCCTCTCATTTAGCATTTATTTGACTCTGAGACTTGTTGACCTGTTCTATAGACAGAGTTCATGCCAGGGTAAGCCGTGCCCTGCTGTGACTCGTAATGGGATTAAGTGGTTGTTAGGAGAACAATTGGTGAGTGAACACAGAACTCTTTTCGTCGTGCGGCTTTTCTGGCAGAAGACTGTTGCTCCACCACCCACAAACACACATTTGAGTAATTGAGTCCTGATGGGCAATGGTTCAAATGAGCAGAGGAACACTGAGTGTGCCCTGTGGCGCTCCAGATGCAGGTTTAAAGAGGATGCTAATAGCAAACGAACCTGTCTGTCAGGAGCGGCCTGTTCCTGCTTCACCTCTCTGCTCACATGATCCGACAGGCATGTTGCATTCAGGCATGTTGCATTCTGTCACGCAACCATCTCATGGTTTCTGTTTCTCTGCAGGCTTTGACTTGAAGGAGTGTTTGTGTGAGGACAAGCACAAGACAGACACAACTCTTTGATATCAGTGAAGATGTGAGGAAGCCATGCTGAAGCCATTGTTCAGACAGATGGAGAAAGTGAGGCAGAAATCTGTTGCTCTGTAAGTGTTTTTATTACCCTAAAATATCGCAGGGCTTCACCTTGCAGACGTAAATCAAAAGCAAAGGCTGTTTTGTGCAGGAATTAATAAAACGATTGAAGTGTAAATCCTTCAAATAAAAACTCTAAACTGTTATGATGCTCATAAATCTTTAAATACAAATAAGAAGAAAGAGAATAAAAAAATGGATTCAGGTGATAAATAATATCTCCATTCCCTTATAACAGCTGACCTCCTGATTGGTAGATGGTGTTCAGGAGGAGGATTTGGCGCCATCTCCTGTGTCAAACTTGTATTAACAAATTATTTAAAAAATGTCTAAATGAATACCATTTCATGGGGATTACTGTTTAAATCAGGGGTGGGGAACCTTTTTCCTCTCAAGGGCCATTTCAATTTTTTCAACATCCTCCGAGGGCCGTACAAATTATTGACCTCTGCTTAAAAACACTAAAATCACAGCCCATTCATTTGCAAAGAAAAAGCAATCTCTTAATCCAGATATTTTACCATGACTCGCGCGTGCATTCACGTGCACGGTTGTGGCATTACCACCAAAACAGAAATATATGGACACAAGATGTGTGCAAATGTATTTAGTTTCATGTGGACATGATTTAAGTGGTGGGGGAACCTAACCTCCTCTAGGGGGGGCCCATCCGGGAAGATTTTTTTTTAAATATTGAAGTTAAAAGCATCAATCTGGTGCACTTTGAGAGCAACATTAAGAGATCTATGGATACCTGTCTCAACACCCATATGAAACAGAACTGAAAACAGATCTTCTTTTTCTTTATGGATATTTTACAAATCACTCCCCCTTTAAATTGTATTCTTGTTTATTAATAACAACTTTTTTTTACTGTCATATAGTATTTTATACCTGTTTACTTTATTCTCTTATTTTTGTATAACTATAATGATCATATAAAGATGTGCCTTTACCTCACTGGTTGTAGAAAAAGCTTCTTAGATTTGTTAGCATAGCTAGCTAACCAGATGCTAATAACAACAACGTTATTGACTGTATGATCAGTTTGACAGATGAACAGATCGCCACTGGGCTTTCAACTAAAGACACAGCCACGCAGACACTGCGGCATGTGTACGGCTCCTTATGGGTATTGTAATTTGTGAAGTCCCGGCCCGGAGCCTTGTTCTGGTGCTCTCCGTTAGAACTACACTCCTGTCAGACGAGACATATACCACGTAACTGACACGTGAGGCTCGTGTTGTGTTCAAGGACCCTGAACTTGGCCAGGAAAAACAAGCTTGTTTAATTATTTTGCGATCTAGATTTCTTGAATTTTTTTTCTTTTTTGCGTATGTTTATAAATTACCTCGAGGGCCGTACCAAATGGTCTCGTGGGCCGTATACGGCCCGGAGGCCGGTGTTTCCCCACCCCTGGTTTAAATTAATAACTAATAATTAAATTACAAATCACTCAAAAACGATAATGATAAATTATATATTATTATCTCATTGTACATGTATAATGATATTAAACGATTATATTCTATTCTATATTGGCATAAGGTAAACATTTTTAAATAATAAATATTTAAATAAAAGTATTTTAAAAATGTATTTAATTTTCTATAATGATCATTAGGTATAATTCACATTCAAACAGCAATTTAAAGTGATCTATAATTATAAAGGGATCAATATTTTTACCATTAATATGATGAATATAACTTACTAAACGATTATTGCATTAAACTAAAAAGACACAATACACTTGACATATCTTCAATATAATTAAATAATGAACATATTCATTATATTTTAGTACCTATGGCAACTAATTATAATCAGTAACATAAGTTATACATTAATAATACATAATAAACTGCAATATTTTTTTAATACCTAATTTAAAAGTATGATGAATAAATTAAATATTTTCAAGTAAACTCTATTTCGTTTTATTATACTTGATGCTTGAAGGGGACAGCTACATTTCAAACCTGTTATAATGAATAAATCAAATGATTTCCTCACTAATGTGTGAATTGTGATCTTTCTCAAAACAAGGAAACACAATCATTTTAATATGCGTTTCAATATAAATATGTTCTCATAAATAAATCGCAAAATATGAACATGTTACATTTTTAATTCCCCCCTCGAACCCTGTTGATCACAGATATCAAACATTTGTTATAGCAAAAAGGAATCAAGTTACTGCCATTTCAAGTTCAAGCAACAACATCTGGTGACTGAGTGAACTCTGCTCACATTAGCTTGCATGTTATAAACACTGCAACCCCCACAGGAAGTGAACACGCTCCAATAGCACAAGTAAACAAACAAAATAACATAACACTGGCAGGGTGGCAATGACCTGAAGTTTACGCTAACAGAACAATACTCTCTTTTCTAGCAGATATTTTGCTCTCATTATTTGTGTTCTTTTAGTGAAGTTTGTCAGTTTGGAAATGTTATTGTTTGACATTGACGTTAAAATGTGAATCCATCATTTGATAAAATATATAATGTAAAATGTCCATTTCATTTTCATTATCTTAGATTTGAAGTCAACATGGAGAAGAAGTCTAACGTCTTGTGCTTCACATGATCCTCACACCTCCTGAAGAGCGATGGACCCGTGGTGAGATTGTTTTCATTATTGAAAAATGTGCTGATTATTTTCTCAATATGTCTTTTAGTCAACAAAGTGTAAGAAAATTACAAAAATCAGTCTACAATGATTTGAAAATGTGACTACTCTATTCTACAATGAGACTCAAATGTTGCTGATTACATTTCCCTCATCAGTGTGTTTATTAAGAAAAAAGCTGCAAATGTTCTTTTCTTAAAGCCAAAAACAACAAAAAGACAATCATATATTTTATATGTAATTGTATACCTTTTACAAATATTCATACTGCATCATCACTTTGCATAGTTACCCTAAATAACTTTTTCACAGTTTTTATTCTTGAATCATTTGGATATACCTCACAAAATGTCTTGTTTATAATTTGATAATCTGTATATTCTTTTCCCATTATATATTCAGTTAATAATTTTTTTGTGCTTCAACTCGTTAATGTATATATTAAAACGTTCTGTTATGAATTGTGACTAAAAACACACTTTTGCTATAAGTTCTCGTCTTACCCTGGCAGAAAAATCTCCAAGATAAACCCCACATGAGAAAACACATACAGTACATTATACAAATATTGTGTTGTCACTAATTGTGTTAGATATAATATTTGCCTAAATAAGTATATTAAACATAGTCACTCTTTACTAGAATGTGTACAAAACATGTGCATGAGTATGGTTGGGACATTCCTCACAGAAATCCAATTTCCTCTAAAAAAGAAAAAGGAGAAAATGATTGCCAGTTTTACAATTTCAACATTTCTTCCTGGTAAATGTGAAGTAATGACCCCCCCCTTGTCTCAGTGTTTCTGCAGTACTGCTGGCTCGCGGCGTTTTGGGCCCAAAGCCAGAAAACAGTCAGTCACACGCTGTCGTTGGTTCATTGTATTAGTTTTGGGCCAGCGGCAGAAACACGATAGTCCATTTTGGGATCTGTGCTCTCTCGGTGATACAGTAATTCATCGCATACGTTTCACAGCTATCATTAACATCATTGCATTGGCTCTGCAGTACAGTGGTCATCAGGAAGTCAGGGACACGTTTCAAAACATACAATATTTCACAATACAGTAAGTATACGCAGCTGTGAACTCTGGCATACTTTTACCACGTGCACACTCAGTAATCTTGACAGGCTTTGTTATGTGTGTGTGTGCAAGCTGGATGTTTCATAAAAGAACAAGTGAGAGACTTTGACCTCTAAAAGTAGTCATAATTGGATTTTACAAAAATATACTAGAGTTTTTTTAAATGAGTAAAAGATATTTTTTGATATTATTTCCCCAGAAGTTGTTGGATATTGTCCTGCTTCTGGTTCTGGCGCGAAAAACATGGAAAGCTGTGTGATTATCCCTAAAGGTTACATAAAGAAATACATGGATAAATAACATAATACATTGGGTGCGATTGGTGTTTTTTTTTATTAGATTTTCTCCCATACTTTTCGTACATTTTATGTTTTAAATACAATTTTTGAACCTGTTATAAAATATATATATTATATACTTTTAGTTCTGTAAATGCAGGTGTGTGTTTATTTATTTAAAATTAGGATAAAACAAACTTGAAAGGATTTAAAAACAAATTGGAGCTGACTATGAAAATATATCCTACAATTTGCTATTTAGTATTGACTCAAACTGCATAGAACTTTTTTCTTTTTTGGAAAAGTAATTCAGGTACTCCTTTCTTTGGTTACATTTTATTGGAAATGTTTTGGTTTTCAGGTTCGGTGAAGAGTAGATATACTTGCTTTAAAGACCTCTGTGTGTGTACAGTGTGGCAGAAGTGCTCAAGGAAGATGTTCAGGTGTTTGTTGAGTCCTCCAGGGAAACAGCATGTTTTCTTACATTAATGCTCAAAGATAGATGGTTGTAATGTAGGTAGTTGTATGTCTTGTTTGGCGTGTTGCTCAGGGTACAGTCGATCAAACCTTTGATGCTCTGTGTTACAGGTCAGGATTGTTTTTACCTAAACCACCATTTCATCAAAGTCTCCTCATCACCGATTCGAAGGAGCTCTCAAGTACCAGCCTCACTGCTCCGGTCCACCTTTGGTGCAACCACGACTTCAAGAGGATCTCGATCTCCGTCTACAGATTCTGGTCCAGCCAGTGGATGTAGTTGTTCATGCTTCTCCATCCAACCTTAGACATCATCGGAAGATACGCAAACACCATGCAGCCATGAAACCCATCCTCGTAGTGATCGCTTGTCACCGCGACGCCGGCGTCCTGCAGCCGCCTGACGTACATCAGCCCGTCGTCCCTCAGCACGTCAAACTCACACGTCATGACGTATGCTTTGGGCGTCCTACCCAGAACCCCCTGCTCCGCCAGCAGCGGTGCCGCCCTCACGTCAATCAGCTGGGGAACCTCGCCCATGACCCGCGGCGATCCCGTTTCTCTCACCACCGGCTGGAAGTGCTTCCTGCGCTCGGCCGGCAGCAGAGCGGTCCAGTCCAGCTTGGAGCGGATGCTGCTGCTGAGGGCCGGCTGGTCCAGGGAGCTGTGGTTGTTGGCCAGCAGGAGGGGCTCCAGGGAGGTGTCGGCCCCCAGGTACTGCAGCCAGTAGCGAGCCATGATGGGCCTGTAGAGGATGGGCACGTCCCGGTTCTGCTGGTAGGAAGGGGTGTAGAAGTCGAGCGCCTGCAGCACGGGGTAGATCAGCGCCTGCAGCTTGAAGTTCACCGTCAGAGCGTCGTCAGAGCTGAGCTGTGGACAAAGGCAGGGCTATTTCACAACTCATCAATGAAATCTAAACTCATGACATTCTGGGACTGCTAATAGTTGAAGCAATTCACAGTTTAACACAACAACAGAGCACTTGTTTTCCTCTTTTAGAAGGAGATTTAACTTACTGCTAATATGTCATATTATTATGTGTGTGTTTGTTTTTCTACCTCTTGTGCCACAGCAGCAGCCAGGTTTCCCCCTGCGCTGTCCCCCGACACACACACCCTCTCCGGGTCGATGCTGTAGCGCTCCAAAAGCTCAGCAGACAGGAAGGCCCGGGACGCCGCTAACGCATCGTGATACTGCGCCGGGAACACCGCATCTGGAGCGAGACGGTAACTATAGGCACAGGAAATACAAGAACATCAAGATTAGAATTGTATGCAACACTTTAAAACATGATTCAAAGATACGGCAGGTCTGGTGTTTCTGTTGAATTGACACTTATAAGTGGGATCCAATTTTTCAGTTTTAAATATGTTTTCTTCCAGATTTTATATCCGCAACCATCTTAGTCTACATTAATGCTGATGTAATTAGAAATGTAAACACTATTGTTTGCACTAGAGCTCAGATTATGCTTCAAAATGATTAGTAAAAAGTGACAAGAGATGGACAAAAAGAAAACAAGGTAGATCCAATTAAAGTAATTCATTAAATTAAAACACTTTTTCAAATCTGATACTTTTTTTTCACAAATTAATGAAACACTGGTAACCAACTGTTTCATATTAAAAACTGAAGATAATAAGGCACCTTTGGAAAGATATGTTTTCCAATACACTATTTTTAAGAACTTTTTTCTCTGTTTTGGAACGATTGTGGTTTTTATACTCCGCAAAATATTGACAATTAATAACAAGATTACATTTGCTGCAAAGTGACAGAACTTACTCCACGGACATGACGACAGAGTCCAGGTCTTCCGCCATTTTACGACAAAGATGGTCATATGATCGCATCCCTGTGAGGCAGATAAGTGATATCATGTCAACAATACTCTAATTATGACATGTCCCACTGGCTTTCCACAGTGATACATGTTAACCCAAAAAGTTGAAATGTTCATTGTCAATCTTCCTTTTTCTTTGGGCATCTTTCCAACTTTTTAACACTCACTTCCACTGCAAAGCGCCCATCCTCCACCGTGGAAATATATGACTCCTCTCTTCAGCTGCTTGCCTCCTTTGGGCTGGAAGACTCGGGTCGGCACGCCGCCCAGCGCGGTGTCCGTCACGTGGACCGCGGGGCAGGAGCGAGCCTCGATCTCCTCCACCCAGGACACCACGTGGTTCAACAGGTGGATCCGATGGCACACACCCAGAGCGTGGGCCACGTCACTCTGAAAATACAAACACACATGGCAGTTATTTCAAGGAGAACAATGTTTTCATTCCTGGGTAAAGAAAAGACACTGAAATCAAAATTGTATTGGTAGAACACTTCTGGTGACAACGTAACTTCCATACATGTTTTATCCTTAAGCGTACAACTTAGTATTTATTGATTAATTTAAATGTAAATCAGGTGTGATCACTCTCTGAGTCTGGAGCCCCTCCCTGCCGTTAAAAAGCTTGACAGGCTGGATGGAAAGAATGAGCAGGGTGTGAAAACTGCCCTGCACTTTAAACTCGAGTAGAAACTTGTTGCCTCACAATGCTGCATAAGATTATAGGATTTGGATGTTTAAGGACAGCTTAGCTGAATACTAACATACTATTTTTTACGTTATACAACATTTCTATTAATAAATGTTGTGCTGCTGTCACCTCTCCTGTTTTATGTTAATATTTATGTACTGTCACATTAATCTCTCCTCACTTCTAAATAGATAGATGGATTAGATATGTAATAAAAGTTGGGAAATGATTGTGTTACAGCAGCAGTGTGTTCAGGCATTACACTATTTCAAAGGTATAATAAATGATAGACATAATAAAATACAGCAAAAACATATCTACAGTAGAAAATACATATATCACAAATAATACACAATATAAAATATTCCGGATAAGTGAAAATGTTCTATACAAGAAAAAAAAAGTAGCAAGAGAAATATAGATTTATACTACAAGGGCAGAGACATATAAATCTAGGACAGTATACAAATTCAAGATGTGCATGGTGGCTGTTGTGGATACTGTGTTTTCTTGTAATTCCATAACCCTGACGGCTCGCTGTTCCCCTCTCAACAACCTGTTTAGTTTAAATTATCCTCCGGCTCTCACCGCCTGCATGAAGCTCCGGAACAGCGCGTCCAGCAGCATCAGCTTCCAGGGCTCGCTCACCCCGCTCGGTAGCGGCAGGTAGACGTAGTAAGCGGCCGCCGACAGCAGCACGGCTACGGCCAAACGGAGCCTCATCGCGGCGGTAGTTTACCTGTCAAAAGCCCACCGTTCTCCACACGGATTACACTCTACCGGCTGCAGGCGATCGGTGTCTCCGCAAGGGATTGACAACATACGGAGGAATGACCCCAATTTCAAAATAAAAGCTGATATAAAGATTTGCAGTCAATCTCATAGCGGCAACTGCAAACAGAATAGAGACATTCTCTTATTTTGAAAATTGTTTCCAGGAAGTAGATTATGCATTAGGTAATGTGGTTGCTGATGGGAAATGTAGTTTATTTTATTAATGAAAACATATATTATGTATAGAAAAGACACCTTTGATTTATATATATATATATATATACAGATACATTATATATTCTCAATTTATAATTGGTTATGTTTATCGTACCTTGGTCTAATTCATCAAATATTTATCAAATATATATTATATTAAATTGGAAGTTTTAAGAGCCATATAACAAACAGATATGTGTCTGTTTTATAATGCATGTGATTTATCCTGTAAATGTTTAAGTCATGATATTAAGTGTGACTGAGAAAACATAATAATGACAAGGTATACGTTTACAAAAAGTATATTGTGCTGTTGTACTTTGAGGAGAGGATACCAAACGTTTTGCAACAACCTTTTTAAACATACGGAAAGAGTGAAATGCAAATGGCCTCTGGATAGTTCCCATAATGCACTGGACATCAGCCAATTAGACACACCTGCCTTTAATGACTCCTATGTCCAGCTAATCAACAAGGAAAGATGGGTGAGCTTAAAAAGGGCTCCTGAGGTTCAGCAGTCACGTCTTCTTTTCTGACTGGTTCAGTTGAGTGGTTTGGTGTTCAGACAAAGTGACTCTGCTAGCTGTTGCTATGGGGTTCCTCCTCAGGTAAGTTTTACAAGATGTTTGTGTAATTATTTAAATTGTGAAACTCATTCTTACAGTATATGATAGTAACTTTGGATTTTCTTGTTTAGATGGTTGCTGATGTCCTTGGCTGTTGGGGGAAATCAAGCAAATTGTAAGTTTAGTCACGTTGTGAAGCTGCTTGGTTTTTTCTGCATGGGCTAAAAAACATTTGTTCTACAGTTCGCGTTATTAGATCTACTGAGGAGTATGGAGATGATGTGCCAGTTGCAGGCTATCGCCCAGATTCAAGTGGCTTCAACATTGGAGACTGGTCTTCATCTAGCGCTTGGCCGCACGGTATTGCTTCAACCTCAAATGCATACAAGGTGAGCAGCTACAACATGCCACACATTACGAATTACCATCTTAAAAATGTTTTTCAGCAACTTATTTTCCAATCTTTGCCTGGAATCCTTAATTCATCCTTGTACTATACATGTTACACCTTTCATTTTAATTTATACTGCGTTTTCCAAATTTTTTTACTTTTCATTTCTGTTGCTGCTGACACACCTGAGTTTCCCTGTGGGTATCAATAAAGGTACATTTTTTTGTTGTTGTCCTCAACAGCCACAGATGACTGTGTACGATCAAAAGCCTCAACTAAAGAACTACAAACCTAAGCAGCTTCAACTACAGAACTACAAACCACAGCAGCTTCAACTACAGAACTACAAACCTCAGCAGCTTCAACTACAGAACTACAAACCTCAGCAGCCGGATCGACTGTTGCCCCAGCAACCTAGCTACCCTCCCAAGCAGCCGGATCGACTGTTGCCCCAGCAACCTAGCTACCCTCCCAAGCAGCCAAGCTACCCTCCCCAGAAGCCTCAGTTGCCCCAGCAGCCAAGCAACGCTCCCCAGAAGCCTCAGTTGCCCCAGCAGCCAAGCTACCCTCCCCAGAAGCCTCAGTTGCCCCAGCAGCCAAGCTACTCTCCCAAGCAGCCAGAGCGACTGTTGCCCCAGCAACCTAGCTACCCTCCCAAGCAGCAGGAGCCTCAGTTGCCCCAGCAGCCAAGCTACCCTCCCCAGAAGCCTCAGTTGCCCCAGCAGCCAAGCTACCCTCCCCAGAAGCCTCAGTTGCCCCAGCAGCCAAGCTACCCTCCCCAGCATCCGGAGCCTCAGTTGCCCCAGCAGCCAAGCTACCCTCCCAAGCAACCAGAGCTTCAGTTGCCCCAGCAGCCAAGCTACCCTCCCCAGAAGCGTCTGTTGCCCCAGCCGCCTAGCTACCCTTCCCAGCAGCCAAGCTACCCTCCCCAGAAGCCTCAGTTGCCCCAGCAGCCAAGCTACCCTCCCCAGCAACCGGAGCTTCAGTTGCCCCAGCAGCCAAGCTACCCTCCCCAGAAGCCTCAGTTGCCCCAGCAGCCAAGCTACCCTCCCCAGCATCCGGAGCCTCAGTTGCCCCAGCAGCCAAGCTACCCTCCCAAGCAACCAGAGCTTCA